CTATTGCTAACATTTTGTACATTTCTTTTTCTTTAAGGTCCTTTTAATCAGATCAGTTCCCACCTTTACCCTGGACTCACCATTATCTCATTAATCAAAATGGATTGGATTCTTTTATCCATCAGCTTCCTTCTCATTGTTTGCTTAGAAACATGGAATGTCCTCTCATAATTCAAAATCTTCATTTTACCATTGAGGTAAAAATATACAAGATGAATAGCACACAAGGGGCTGGGACGGTGGCTCAGTGGTAGAGTGCTTTCCTCGCTTGCATGAGGCCCTGGGTTCGATTCCTCCGCACCACTTAAGCAGAAAAAGCCAGAAGTGGTGCTGTGGCTCAAGTGGTAGTGTGCTAGCTTTGAGCTAAAGAGCTGAGGAACAGCATCCAGGTCCACAATTCAGGCGCTGTGAGGGCACGGGGGAGTGAGGTACTGAAGTTCAGAACAGGATCCAGGATGTGAAGTTCCTGCAGAAGCAGAGCCTGGATGGATTCTGGAGCTTCTGGATTCCTTGGGAAGGAAGAGGAGCACCATCACCTTGTGGGAAAAGCATGAAAACTATCTAGTCATAAGGCAACAAAGGCCAAAGAATGTAGGCCAAGAAAAGAACTAGAAAAAGGCGATCCTCTCATGAGCAGCATTTCTCTCCAACCTTTAGTTCCGATGCTAAGCAGCAGAGAGGCTCCACATGGAAGGCTCTGAAGAGGGTCAAATACTGTTTTGGTTGTTGTTTTTATACATCCTCAACAAAAAAGATTTCAGTTTATGGAAATGAACTCCAGGAAATAAATACAAGAGATTTTTCTCTTTGTTGCTGTTTGTTTCCTTCTTTTTTCATCTTGTTTATCTGTCTTTGGGAGGGTAAGGGGGAGGCACAGAAATGGAGGGACCAAGGGTGAACAAATGCAGCAGTGGCACTCACTGGACACTAGGTTGAAAATGAACTAGACAACTTGTGGGTGGGAATGGGAGGGAAAAACTGGGAGAGAGCAAGGGAAGGGGTGACATTGTCCAAAAAGAAATGTACTCACTATCTGACTTGTGAAACAGTAAGCCTTCTATGCATCAATTTTATAACACCAGGTATGTTTCATTTTAATCAATTAACTGAATCAAGAAACACCTGAGAGATGTTTCTTAACACCATTTACAGGGCGTTTTTCAAATTGTTCTTCTCCTTTCCCACACATTAGGTACTCTCCTAAAAGCATCTTGGCTTTAAAAACATGATAGTTAATTTTTTTTTAACTGTATTTTTTTTTTTTTTGTCTTGTCTTTTTTGGTACTGGGGATTGAACCCAGGACATTGCACTTGCTAGGCAAGCACTTTGCCACTGAGCTACATCCCAGCCTGTGGTGGTTAATTTTTAACAGCAGCATAGGCTTGTAGCCTCCTACTTGGGGGCAGAGGGTAGAAGATTATTGGAGCCCAGGAGTTCAAGGCCAGCCCAGGCAACATAGTAAGACCCCATTTGTCTTTTTTACTTAAAGCTGACACTACCACTTTGAGGCATGCCTCTAGCTTTTTGCTAGATAAATGGAATAAGAGTCTCATGGATTTATTTGCCTGGGCTGGATTCTAACCTCAATCCTCAGATCTTAGTCTCTTGAGCAGCTAAGATTGTAGGAATGAGTCTCCTTACTTAAGTAGAGCATAGCTCTGAATATGTCTGTGAGGGCACTTAAAGTGACAATTAGATCCTGAGGACTCAGGCCTACTGATGGTTTCATCCATTGATGGATTCAGTAGTCTATTGAGAGGTGACAAAACTTCTGCCTGTAAGAAAGGAGGTCACTGGAGGCAAGTCCTCCTGGCTCTGTCTTGCCCTGCCCCCTTCCTGTTATAGCTCCACTCTGCTTCCTGTCCACCATGAGGTAAACAGCCTCCTCCTGCACATTCTTCTGCCACCATAATGTCCTGCTTTATCAAAGACCCAGAAACACGAAGACAAGTGACTGTGGATGGAACATTCTGAAACCACGAGCTAAAAATAAAACATTCTTTCAAGTCCTTTGTCACTGTGTATGAAAAGCAACTAATACAACTTACAAACAAAATCGTTTAGAAATTTAAGGTATCAATATAAGAAAACACATTTTTTAGAGATGGCCCATTGGGCCAGAGAAAAAGGTGAGCTGTCTGTAGGCCATGCAGTTGAAGCATGCTAAAGACAGGCTGTGAACTTAGGCTCAGGGCTCCTAAATGGTCAGATGCATCCATCCTGTTGGCTTCACACAAGTGGGAGGAGCACCCAAGTTTCACTCTGCTAGCCTTGGGCCCAAACTTTTATCTGCCAATTGCTATCCTGAAACACTGATTACTTTTTAGGACTTGAAACACCACAAGGTGGAAATTTTGGTATTAACAGACAAGAATCCAGCCAGCCAGCCTCAATGTGGCTCATATAAAACTTATTTTCCCCCCTCCAGCTGTTGTACTTGCTGAAATCCTATGAATTTTGCCAAGTAGATCAGGGAGTTATTTCCCTTTTCACTAGCTTCTCCTTCCACCTACCTATGGGCAAATTCTTTTCTGCAGTTCCATCACCACTGGGGACAGGGAATAAACTGCCTCCAAAGCAGGCTTCAAGTGGTTTTGTTTGTTTGTTTGTTTTTAATACCAGAGGAAACTACAGGTAACAGCAGCAGAGTGGTTGAATACCAACACAGTGAAATTTGCTTCTGGGCTCTACTATTAACTGCATGGTCTCTGGGAAAGTGATTTCATTTGATAACTCAGTCTCCCCACTTGTAAAATTTTTTCAAAGGAACATGTGTTTATGCAGATTTAATTTCTTACAGCAGCTCCTAGAACATGGGAAGCAAATCAATACATGCAATAGTTGTTAGTGATTATTTTTATGTACTTTGAGTACAGCAACTTGTTTCCTCATCCCTGACCTCTCTCCTCTAAGACCTTGCTACAGATAAAGCTGCTACAATATACGTTAGCATATCCATCCCTATTTTGGCTGACAGCCTCCATCCTAGGTCCTCTACCCTTTCCCCCAAATCAGGTGACCAGGCCAGGCCAGAATTGCCCACCCTCAGCTAAACTACACTACCTCTAGCCCCAAAATGCTGCTGCTGCAGTCAGGAGGTTCTGCCCCAGCCACATGCCATTTCTAACATCTGGCTACAAGACTTGCCACTTTCCATTTCCCTGGCACTATATAAATACATCCACTGAGTAAGGAGAGGCTGCTATACTCTATCCCAGGAGAGTTAGCCTATCAGCTTCCTGACAATAAACTTTGCTGTATGTGACTTGGTGTGTGTGGTTTTGGGCACTAGTGCTTTCAATATATAACCATGGATGTCAGCACCCCCGGACACCCCTTCATATCTTTTTCACTATGTAGGCAAAGAGATGTTAGCCAGCCTCTTCGGTACTACCTGGGCCACTAGCTCCAAATGTGACTAGGAAGAGATCCACATAGCTTCCACTAGGCAGGAAATAATCTACAGTCTCAGATATTACAGCCTTAGGCCCAGCTCATTCCACCAAAAAACCCATGGCTGAGAGATGAGTGCTGTGGAGAAAGGCTTTTATTCAGTAGTCAAGTAATAGATGAGCTTTGTTCACCCATCAGCTTCTCTAGGCTGCAGATCAAAGGTAAGCCAAGAAGGGGAGAAATATTCACATCATTCTCGAAATGGGCAGTGATATCCCAGGAATTGATACGTTTTTTCACGGTCTTTTCTGGTACAGTGGCAGATAGGTTGTTAGCCTCTATAGGAGAAGAAGGGGGAAGACTATCCAAGTCTAGCTCAAGTTAACCCTGTAGTACAATATTTTTAGACATTTCTCTGATGATCAACATGCCTATGGGCAGAAGTGAGTGAAAACCAACCCGAAGATTAAAGAAGCAAAGGAGGCAGACAAGATGTGAAGACAGAGATTTCAAGGTTTCTCATCTCATTCTAGTTATCTAGTGTCTGCAAGTCCAAGTGAAAAGCCAGCCAGTGTTTCCAGAAGAAATGGCCTGCAGGTGCCTATTATGAAATACCCCTCCAGGGCAGATGTGTTGTCTACAGCAAAGCTAGTGGGAAGGTAATAATGTATTGCATAGCAAAGTGACCACCCAAAATGTTTAAGCCAACTTGAACTAGCTAAGCTGGAAGGTTTAGATTTTTTTGGGGGGGGGTGTAGTTGTGGGGCCTGAACTCTGGGCTTAGACACTGTCCCTCAGCTCTTCAGCTCAAGGCTAGCGCTCTACCACTTGAGCCACAGCGCCATTTCCGGCTTTTTTCTTTTTGCTTATGTGGTGCTGAGGAATCGAACCCAGGGCCTCAGGCATGCAAGGCAAGCGCTCTACCACTGGGCCACCTTCCCAGCCCAGGTTTAGATTTCTGTTCAATAACAGGAGAGAGATTTATTAAGGAACTGTGATTGTGTTTTGCTATAACTGCTTGGCATCCAAGTTGACTGGGGGGCATGGTTTTCTTCAGTAGCTGTTTTACCTGCTCTCATAAAAGGAACACAAATAAACTCTGTTTCTACCACCTTATCTCCTCACTGAAGATAAGATTATTCAGTCTCTGTTCCTCCTGGCAAAGTTGAGGTGAATGCCTCTTTCCCCAGCAATTGAAGTGTAAGCTGTTTTGAGCTGTTGTGCCAGGCACAGAATCATTACCATTCTGGACAGAGCATGGGATGGGCAGGAGGATGGGATCCAGAAACAGACGTTATCTCTTCATTTAAAACTCCAAGAGTACCCGATCACCTACTTCTCACATCACGAGTAGCACAGAACAGGAGGAGATGGTGACACCAATTTTCTTTTTGTAGTACTGGAGTTTGAACTCAGGGTCTCACACTAGGTAAGTACTCTACCATACCTCCATCTCAAGATTTTCTTAAATTCTTGCCATGCACAAAGACCCCAGCAAATGCAAACAGTGACTTTTTCTTTTCACAATTGGTGCCTTCACATTCCCTCCTTCATACCTCTGTAACCTAGCACATTTATACAAATTGGTTCCACAAGACACTTTTTAGATGTGCATTTCTTTAATTTTTAAAAAATATACACAGGAGCCATGTGTTTTACATAGGAATACACACATTAACAAAGCATTTCTTAGTTTTCCAAAATTCTATTATATCAGTCCGAAATTTATAAATTAAATATATCAGAATTTTTAAAGTTAAATGAAATCCCTGAAACTACTGGAATATAATAGACTTTCTTTTCCAAAATCAAATGAGCAGAGAAGATGAGCATGGTTTGTGTTAAATAAGGTTTATTGTTAACTTTATTGCCTATAGTCTAGAAGATGCAACTTTATTGTGCCTTTGCGAACAGGATACATCTCTTAAAAAAACTGATCAAAATTTTCCATACATATAGCTCTATACGATAGAATACAGTGCAACACTATTCTTATTACATAATTATAGAAATATTATAGGACCCAAGAGCACAGGGTAAGCAAAAGACATACAATCCTGAGCCATCTGAACAAGATGATTTGATGAATCCTTTTAGTGTAGGTCTAGAAAACACGGAGGAAAAAAAAAATACATGCATACTGCAGTCATGAGCGAACACATTAGTCACCTGTCTCTGCTAGACACACGTGGGGTGAGGGTGAATTCCTAAACACATGCACACTCATTCACGCTTCCATTTCCTTTTCCTGCTTCCCTCCCTCCCTCATACATTCACTCTCACCCTTTCCCCAAAGAAAAGATCAGGCACTAAATCCTAGTGAACCCCAGATTTGCCTGGCTAGAGGAGGTTAAGTGACCGCTAAAACATGTGCACAGCCTCATTCACACCAAGAAACAAAGCATGTGCTGCAAGCCAATTCCAGCTGCTTTCACCTCTTTGGAAGTAAATGAAGCATGTGCTCACTACAGTTTAAAACTGTAGTCTTAAAAAACAAAAATTTTTGTTTCTCTTGCTATTTTTTAAAGTAAAATTAACAGTGGAAAATTCACCCTCAAACTAACTGCTTCGTCTGCTATTAAAATACATGTCATTCTATTTTTGGTATATGGTCAATTATAATTTAATATAAAAAGTTCATGAAGCCTGTACCTGTTTATGGTAAACACTGCTGAACCACATAAAACCTACCACAGGCTTATGAAATAACAAGCCTTTTAAGTGTTCCTTACTATGTACTTGAGTGCACTCTAGTGTTACCACAGATCATGTACGTAAAGTGATGAAAGCTATTTGGTTTGTCTTCACTTTCTACATCTGAGTGATAAAATGAACCAAACCATGCCTCCGTACCTTCCCTGAAGATAACCCGAGTCTGATGACTAAACAGACTGATCAGCCTGGCTGTCAGTCAACTTTATCAAAGGTTGTGCTGGAAAGCCAGAGGGTAAATATTAGTCTACCAGTAGCTCCTCTTGTATGGCTAAACCAAGAGTTCTTAGCTTTTCTCAAAGACTGACACCATTGAGGTGGAAGTTACTTAGAACATGGAGAATACTGAATATGAACTGCATAACCTGTGGGACCACCTGGACAGAAGAAAAGAAAAAAAGGATCCTCATCCCCACGTGATTTGGTGTGGGTTTTAGTGTCTCCGTGCACTTTAGCTGCTACAGAAAAATTGAAACAAAGATGTAATTCGTAACTTTATTTTCAATTAAATGCTCACACACTCACAAAACACACACCCTATAAATGAGGTGGCTCTTCAAATTCTTTAAAATAAAGAGGCACCAATACCCGTTCATTTATGTATTAGAAGTATCATATAATCATCAGTAAAACAGAAACATCATTTGCAATGACAATGCAAAGGAGGAAAAAAATAGATAAAAAAAAGCAACCTTAGCCACTATGAAGAGTGCTAGAAAATACAGATGTGTTGGCCAAGTTGAGATCTAGAGATTTGCTAATAAAAGATTTATTGGTTTAATATAATCCCATGGCCTTTGTTCACAAATGGTAATGGAAATGGCTCTTAAAGGAGCTTAAGACACCATTCTGAAAGTTTCCAATGTACGTTAAGTTAGTCTAACTTGGCTTTGTCATTGCCTCTTGCTGGGAGAGACAGGAAGAAACCAATAGCATTACCCTACATGCCACTGTGCATGCAGCATCAATGATGATATGGTCCTAACACCACTGTGAAGGTGTTTTCTAGAATAGAAAGGACGTAATGTTGTACTCTGGCATCTTTGGTTAAGGTCTAGCCTCTTCAAATCCACTCCTCCTGTACATTTAGTCTCCTATAGATTTTAAGTCCATGCACTTAAAGAAGATCACAGACATAATGATAAATTGTCTGACCAAGAGTGTCAATATCTTTTGGCCCTTTTCCTGCCCAGTGAGACTACAGGACCAAAAAAAGCTGTAAAGTCAAATGCTTGTTAAATAAAGCATGTCATCCTTAAAGTTTCATGAGCTGCCTAGGAAACTGTTGATAAGATTCCTAACATCAGGAGAGGGATAAAACAGAGGCTTTGTCCTTAAAAGTGGCTTTAGCCAACTGTGCAAAAGGGTTTGCTACAAAAAAAAAAAATTGACTACCAGCTCTATAGCTTATCTGTTTTGCTCAAACCTTGTATGAAACTTCAATGACGTCATGTAGATGTTTGAGGTGGAAAGGAGATAATAAACTATGTATAAAGCTAAATTTGGCCTGGGGAGAAAAAGTTTTAAAAAACTGACACTCAATAATTTAATTCAAAGGAAAGACTATATATATATATAAAATCGTGCCTACACCCTAGACTGAGTACTGCCTGGAACGCTCAACTTTTTTCCTATACTCCAACAACTTGGTCTGAGACCTTCCTTCACTTCTTTAGTAGAGGGGGACTTTTTTATATGAAGTCCCAACAGTGACACAAACATCACTGTGGGTCAGAATGAGTTTGGACAAAGCAAGTACTCGAAGGGGCACCGACTGTGATTCCTAGCTAGCTTCACAGCACACTGGAATCAGCAGGAACCATAAGATAACACAGGGGTGACATGCAGGGTTTCTGCAGTCTCTTTTTTTCCACAAGCAAATCCCAGCTCTCCCAGGCGAATAATTCAGAATAAACCAGCCAGGCTGATGTGCTACTGTGAATGCTGCCAATTTCCCATGAGCTTAGCACCAAATCTGTCATTTTCCCCCTTCCCTTGATCTAAGTCCACTTGTAGTTTAAAATGTCAAAGTCTCCTTGCTTTTTGATTTTTTTCATTCATCAGAGTATTCCTATGTTCATGGTTCAGTTCCATGTCAGATGGAAAAAAAAAGCTGGAAAGTATTTGGTGATTTCCATATAACAATCTTCTCATGATGAAATAACTTCATGAGTTTAAGTCAGAATTATGTCCGCAGAAGTCTTTTCCATGTAGTTTCTCATACAGAAAAAGATTCTTACACATGGCTCTTTCTGGACAGTGCATTAAATGAAGATACCTCACAAGAGAAAAGATCGTTATCTGTAGCCATTTGAATAATATACAGCTTCACAGTCAATGAGATGATACACTTTGCAGAAGAGTCATTGACCAGTACACAAATCAAACACAAAAACAGCAGTGAACATATTCTGCACTACAGAAAAATTGTTAGCATCTAACTTGAAGGACTTAAAAGTGATGGGTCTGGTAACCGCATTGTAGGACTGGAACATGCTACTTCCCTTCCAGATGCACAATGTTTGATGCTGGTGCACAGTATCTACACACATACATGCACAACACTGTGTCTGTAGTGATATACAGATGCAACACATAGCCAAGTCCTGAAGACAGATTTCAAAGGAGAGGCTACCAAGACCAAGAGAGCATATATATTAACTTAAGAACACTTCTAACTTCAGAATTTCATTTATTGAACACACTTTAAAAACAAGCACCTCTTGGCAATAAAAGGGAAAAAAAAAACCCACAATACTTCTTCCACTCTGTTCTAGTGGAAGACTTGTCACACCAGCCTGCTAAATTCATGATGGGATTTTAAACAGGCAGCCCACTGGGGCTACAAGCAGAGCTCAAATGCAGGTGTGCTGATTTTGAGGCAAGTGCTGGAGCAGAGGAAAACATCAAAAAGCAAATTTGGAATCTATCACAGCTTTCTTCCTTAAGCAAAAACAAAAACAAAAAAAAATGAAAATTAGTTTTCGAACCACAATTCAACTTGTCAAACTTTCTCTGAAGAATTTTCATTTAATTATATCACATGTGTGTATAAACAAATGTGTATATATATATATGTGTGTGTATATATGCACACACACACACATATATATACACACACACACATATCAAGAAAGAAAGCTTTGTCACAAACACTCTCAGGCTTACAATTATTAAAAAAGGAGAAAAGTAAAAGCAGAAGGAATATTCAACACATGGCGGGGAGGTCAATTCCTGTTTCTGCTCCTAAGAAGTAAAAAAATCACCTTATAATTAAGTACAAAAACCTGCATTGAATGACAACTGCTGGTGTATTTACTTGATCAAAAATGAAGACCAAGCAGATAATAAAGCCCTATGGTAGCACTCGTTTGGAGCACTCCCATCAGTGTGTACACTAGCATGCTGGCAAAGTTTCTGGAGCATTAGCTTATATAAACATGGGAGTCCTTGGTTAGCTGCAATCAATGGAACGTTCTCTTCTCAAATGCACCCAACAATTCAGTTTCACTTACAAATTGCAAACCAAATTCATTTCTTCAGAAAAATATCTGTTTGGCATCTCCTGGACTTTGTTCCATTGGACAATATGGACATTTTAACCTAGAGACAAGACAAAAAAGACAGAGTCAAGGAAATGGGTCAGTACCCAGCATTCCATTTTCATTGGGTTGCAGAGTATTATTAACAATTAAACATATACCAGTGTATGCACACACCAACAGTATATGTGTCTGAATTTTGTCTGAAGGATTTACTACAGTCTCCCCTATAGTGCCATAGGAAACCAGCAAGTCTAAGCTACGACCAACAACCTACCTAGATGGCTTCTAATCGCAATTGCTCTGCACTGCCAGGGCAGCTGCAGGGTCTAGGAGGGGAAAATAGCAACTTATCATTATGGAGTGGAAATTAAGTGAAAAATTTTCTAGCTGTCTGAGCTAGAAATGGTTTCTGGGACTTTTTTTTAAGTTGAGCTTAAAAGAATCACAAACATATATCCCTTGGATTTGCAATTGTACTGGTAGGAATTTATACATCATATATAGATAAGGTAACTCACTTTAGCACTACTGATAGTTATCAACTTAAATAGGAAACTGACTAAATAATCCTGTTTCTACCTGGAAGAATACTCTGTAGCTTGAAGAGAAACAGAACAGGGCTCTTTCAGCAGTAAGATCTCGGGCTGGGAATGTGGCTCAGTGGTAGAGCGATTGCCTTGCATGCATGAGGCCTTGGGTTCGATTCCTCAGCACCACATAAGCAAAAAGAAAAAAAGCCGGAAGTGGCGCTGTGGCTCAAGTGGTAGAGCGCTAGCCTTGAGCTGAAGAGCTGAGGGACAGCGCCCAGGCCCAGAGTTCAGGCCCCACAACCGGACCCCCCCCACCAAAAAAAAAAAAGATCTCTAAGAGAAATCAGTAAATAAAGAAAGCAAAGTAGGCCCAGATAACAGAGTACCAGAAAACAGCAGTTCCCAAAGCCATTGATTGTTCTTTCAAATCTAATCAAACAAATAACAGATTAAATGGGCTAACAATTTAACAATTAGATACCCCCAACTTTCGTCAATATATACTTAAGAAACCTATTTCTAAATCTAGCTACATTTGATTTTCTTCATTACCTGATGTTCCCACCAAATTCCAAAAGATATATTTACCAATATCTTAAGAAGTCAGACACTTACTTGCTACCATTGAACATTTTATTCAGGGCATCTCTTGATATAATATGACCACAAACCAATTTCATGGGTGGATTGTTATCTGTTGTTTGCTGACGAAGAATGGGACAGGCAAATATAGAGTGATACCAGCACTTTTTGCCAAGATCCACTTCAATCTGTTCAAAAAAAATAAAAAGGCTAGTTATATTCCAAAAATCAACCAGAGATTAACATGCACTGTGACAGGAAAGTTGATCAGATCTAGGTATCTGAATGGAATTATCCAAAGCACTCTTCTCAAAGATGGTGAGTCTTAGAACACCAAGTTGAGTTAAACCAGTCATCAACAAGATTCCAAATTCTAGCAGAGCACCGGTGGCTCACACCTGTAATCCTAGCTACTCAGGAGACTGAGATCTGAGGATTATGGTTCACAGCCAGCCCGGGCAGGAATCCTGCCTGTGAGACTCTTATCTCCAATAAACCACTAGAAAACCCGAAGTGGCGCTGTGGCTCAAGCGGTAGAGTGCTTGCCTTGAGCTGAAGAGCACAGGGACAGTGCCCAAGCCCAGAGTACAAGCTCCACAACCGACCAAAAAAATAAAAGAAAAAAATAAAAGAAATTCCGAATTCCAATGTGTGAGAGTCAGATCAAAGTCAAGGAAATGCTCTAAAACATAAGCGCTTCTGCCCTTTGTAAAGGGTCACTCCCACTGACTGATGCATGTTAGGTAAGCACTCTACCATCAAGTCACATTCCAGCCTAAACCGTCTCAAAAATTCATCCTACATCTAGAAGCAAAGCTACCAGGCATCCTCACTGATAATTAGGTGATAAAATGGCAGCACACATAGCCAGGTGATAAAATTCCGCTCAGTAAATCCTTCAAAGTCAGATTCAGATCTGAGTTTCTCATGTTTTGTGTAATGCTCCAGGGAAACCACCTGAAACAGGACATTATAAGCCAAGTTTCAACAGGCCTGGGGCGATCTGTGGCATCAAAGCCTATGGCACTTGTATCAATAGTTTCTTTTATTTTTTTATTGTGAAAATACTGTACAGAGGGTCAATTGTTTCTTTTTGCCACAAATGAAACAAGTCATATTAAAGATCATCTAGCAGACTATGTGGAAGATAACAGAGCCCTCACAAACATCAGTTTTCCTTTATTCTAAATCAACAACAGCTATCAGCATCAAAGTCTATTACTAATGCTCTTTCAAGAAAACTGACAAAGTATAACAGTGCAAACAAAGGCTGGCCTGATCCCAACTTCTAGTTGCTTTACAACCTTCCCTGCTCCCTACCCATAAGACTTCAGTTGATTCAGGTTTCAATCTGCTCTGTCCTAGTATATAAGTGTCAATAGATGCTTAAAGCTTAAGTGGGGGACTGCCAGATGCCAGGGACTTACTTGTCTCAGGAAGTGACTGAAGGCTCAAGTTCTTTTCACTTGCTCAAATTAGCAACAATGAAAACAGGGTGTTGCTTGTGTCCTGACCACAAGCAGAACTTGAGCTGACACCTGTGCCTTTAAGCACAAGATCTTTAAGAAGAAGCTGGGGCAACCAACTGATAGGCTTACCAGCTGGAAGAACAAGGTAACTCCAGATAAACCTGTGCACAGGGGGGGCAGAAATGTAACAAAGAGCCAAATGCAGTTTTGAGTGTTAGAGAATCTGTTGGCACTGCTGTGACAAGAATGACAATTCCAAGTTAAGGTTTTAGTGCCTACTGGCAGAGGGAAATACATACAAACACCTTTGCACTGTACATCATAACGGCACCACAGCAGCCACAAGGTCCTTGTCAGCTCAAGGTTTGTTTGCCCCACAGAGAAGGGTGGTCCTCTTTTTAGAGATAAACAAAAGTAAACTTCACTACAAAATTTTGAGACCACTCCTCAAATGTCTCCAAAATTGATTCCTCCTATTTTTCTTATTTTAGTGGTGCGAGGATTGAACCCAAAACCTCACACATGCTAGGCAAAGCACTTTATCACTGAGCTACACTCTCAGTCTTATTGTTAAAAATCATGTCTATGAGGACTGGGAAGGTGGCTCAGTGGTAGAGCACTTGCCTTGCATGCATGAGGCCCTGGGTTCCATTCCTCAGCACCACATAAGCAAAAAGAAAAAAGCCGGAAGTGGTGCTATGGCTCAAATGGTAGAGCTCTAGCCTTGAGCTGAAGAGCTGAGGGACAGCGCCCAAGCCCAGAGTTCAGGCCCCATGACCGGAGGCCCCCCCCCCCCCAAAAAAAACAAAAATCATGTCTATGTATATATAATGAAACTCCTGTTCAATGGCTATAACCCTGTTTCCTGGTTAAAAGGCAGGATGGACAAATTCTTCTTTGTTGGTGGTGGTGGTGGTGGTCCTGGGGCTTAAACTCTGGGCCTGGGCATTGTCCTGAGCGCTTTAGATCAAGGTAAGCGCTCTACCACTTGAGCCACAGTGCCATTTCCAATTTTCTGGTGGTTAATTGGAGAAAAAAAAGAGTCTCACGGACTTTCCTGCCCATGCTGGCTTTGAACCACGATCCTCAGATCTCAGCCTCCTGAGTAGCTAGGATTATAGGCGTGAGCCACCGGCACGCAGCTAGCTACATTTTAAATTCCTGAAACACCCAAGACACATATAACAGAAAAGACAAATCAGAGGAACTTACAGGTAATTCATCTTTCTGGTTCCAAACTCCAGTGCACTGCCTCTGTTCAATCACAGCTTTGATGTTAATTAAAGCTGGCAGTGCCACACAACCTGCTGAAAAACTGGGAGAGAAGAGAAAGCGTTAGACTGTGTTTGCAGGTCCTGACCGGGTCTCTCCTCCCCCCACACCCGTGAATAGGTGTATTTCCCATAATTACTGAAACATGGCCCCTATTTAAAAACGTGACCTAACATTAAATCTAACCAATATGGGAAAAATGATGTTTAAAAGACAAAGGGCAAATTGTTAAAAAATTAAAATCCTAAAATGGTCATTTTCTTTTTCTTGGTCAGCCTGGGTGCTGTCCCTGAAGCTCTTTGTGCTATACCAACTTCAGCCACAGCATCACTTCCAGTTTTTGAGTGGTTAATTGGAGGTAAGAGTCTCATGGGGACTTTTTGCCTGGGCTGGCTTCAAACCACAATCCTCAGATTGCAGCCTCCTGAATAGCTAAGATTACAGGTGTGAGCCACCAGCACCTAGCTAAAATGGTCATTTTCTGATAGAGAGAATTAATTCCCCAATAACTGTAAATATAACCAGTTCTATCCATTACAAACAGCAGCAGCTTTTGGCATCAGCATTGAGATGAGGATCTATCACTAAAAGGTAAAAGTATGAAACTTGTCAATTCAAATGATGTCTGAAGCAAAAATACAAATTAAAACACCAAAAATGGTGTTTCAACATTCAAATGTTCTCTGAGTTGATCACTCAACAACACATAAAACATATACCCTGTCCTGATCTCTCCCTTCACAGATGATGTATTGGCATACTATAATGCATACGTAAACATACATACATACACATATATACACACACATATACGTAAGTGTAAGCCATTCAGTAATATTTGAAATCCAAACTGTAAGAAGAAATATTTGCATCCTCAATGACAGTATAAAGGATATCTGAAAGCTATTATGCTGGTTGTCCTGAACCAATGTGCTTAGTTTCTTTCTCCTATACAGCATGCTTCAAGGCATTTATGGAGTAGACCAGTGGCATCCAAAGTGTAGCCTGCAGGCTGATGCTGGCTTATTTGACAGTCTTGGCCTGTAAAATTTGCTCTTGTACAGTTCCTCCAAGATCTGGATTGCTCCCTGCCTGGGCAGAAGGCCTACTGCTTGAATTTGGAATCAGCTGAGTCCTGTTTAGCCCTAAAGAGAGCCACATGACTAGGGTCACTTCCAGCAACTCTCCACACAAATGTAGTCTGTTGCCCAATTGGGGAAACCCATAGCTCCAGAGCTACTCTGGATAGACAGAGGCTTTTCTTGCAGCTACATCAGCCTCAGCCTCCACCTTTCCTATCTGCCCATCCTGCCACTTTCACTTGCTATGAGGGCTTATCTCAATTACAGCTGATTGTCTTTCATTAGTGTGGTGGCCCTGAAAAATGCAGACTACCTTATTCACGTCTATGTTCCACACACATAGTTAAACCCATGGTGCTTTAAAAAAACAAACAAAACTGAATTTTTGTACCCTGCTATGTCCTATGGTCTGTCTTATACTATGAATGATTCTTCTATCCATGCATGATTTTATAATACCATATTTAATTAAGACCCTCCAAATGTTTCATTCCATCATGTAATATTAAAAAATCAACTTCATTAATGCCATCACCATTCTTATTAAAAATAATACTTTATGTACTAGGAAGCTGACAAGCTGACAACCAAAGGTATAGCTTTTGAATGTTAGCCTAAAATATTTAACTTTATCACTGTGGTATAGTTTTTGAATGTTAGCCTAAAATATTTAACTTTATCACTGTGGCAAAAGAGACTGACAGTTGCTTTCCTAGATGTGACATTCCTAGATACTCAGAAGGTTGAGATAAAGATTATGAGGTCAGCCTGGGGGGGGGGGGGGGGGCGGGGGAGTATTCATGAGATTATATCTCAATTGAAGAAGCTAGACTTGGTATATGCTGTAATCCTAGCTGTGGGAAGTATAAAATAGGAGAATCATTACCCAGGTGCAGGCCTAGGAGGAAAATGAGACCCAATCTCAAAATAATCAGAATAAAAAAAGGCAGGAGTGTGGCTCAGAGGCACAGTGTGTGTCTAACAAGCAAGAGGCTGCGAATCCAAATCCAAGTATCATTAAGAAACTCTACCACCATCAACAAATAACTATAGTTTGTTACTAATTCTTTGGGGGGGGAGGGGAGAAACGTACTGGCTCATAACTCAAATAACATACACATGTTTTTTTTTTTCCCAAGACAATCATTATGCTAAGGTATGAAAGTGCTCTATACAAATTTCCTGCTCTAATCCATAGAATTAAAAAAAAAACAACAACATTTACTCAATGTCCAGACTTAGGGAACTGTCCCTGAGCTTCTTTTGCTCAAGGCTAGCACCCTGCCACTTGAGCTGCAGCACCACTTCTGGCTTTTTCCGTTTATGTGGTGCTGAGGCTTCATGCTTGTCTAGTGACAAGCACTCTACCACTAAGCCACATTCCCAGCCCTCAACTCTTAATCTTTAATCTGTCATGAAGAGCAGACTGAAGTACAACTAGTAAGCTTGTAGTGAGTGTCCAGGAATACAAGAGGCCCTGTTTTCACTACTTCAACTTAGTACAGGCTCAGACATTTAGCACATTCTTGTTTCTACGCCATGTGAGCAAAGGTCAGCAGTGAAAAGGGCTCCTGGACTTCTTAAAACGCACAGACCACACTGTGGAAACTGCTGCCTGAAAACTGCATCACTGCCAATTACAGCACCCCTTAAAGCATCAACTGGACTCTTCTTCACAAAGGCAATCTATTGGCTTTCATTATCAAGGCAGCAAGTTAAAAGGAGTCACCACGGCAGCAGCATCTCAGTAACACAGGGCCCACGTGCATACCTGACGCTGAGAGGGGATTCCACAGAAAGCCCCAGGAGAGCACAGGCATCCCGCGTGAAGATGTCACAGATGTCTGCCCACTGGTTCGAGTCAAGCAGGTGAACATACGGTGAGTTCTCAATTCCCTGCCTCAGGTATACTAGGCTTCCCATTAATACCTGAATGTCTAAAAGAAAAGGCATCAGCAACTTGGAGGTGTTGATAATCATACCCGAAAGAGTTTACTTGCAAAGAACAGCAAAGAAATACAAGAAAAAATAAAATAATTAACTTTAAAAAAAACATAAAAAGTCTGGTCCTTAAGCTGTTTTAGAATCTCTTTGCCCTAAAGACATAGCATGGGAATCATGATGAACCCTTTACTACATACAACATATACTATACAATACACACTAATAAAACATGAAAGAAAAAAAGACAACATGGAGTGAAAAAGAGAAAAAGGAATTGGAATTACACTTTCAATTTTCTGTTCTGACACACAGTACGGTACAAAGCAACAATGATGTAAGAGGGGCCACCACATAGACCTGGTTAACCGGCCAGCCTTCCCATGCTGACATTTTTAGGGACAGCAGCTCAATGAGAAGCAGGAACTGGCAAATAGAAAGTAAACACTATGCTCTGTCAATCCTTAATCATGCGGTGTCACTTTCTGGCTCTGACTTTTCATGTAAGTCTTTAATGCTCACTGTTGATTTAGAGCCTATCAGAGCTTTATTGGGAAGTTGAAATCTCAATTTTTTTAGTTTATCAGCATATACATACAATAGATGTAGTTAAACTGTCAATAGTCCAGTGGTGTCTACAGGGCCCAAAGTAAGAAACGGACTCAAGCTGGTCATGATGGCACGTGTCTGTAATTCCAGCATGGGAGAAGGTAGGGCAGGAGGGCCATGAATTCATGTTGAGCCTAGGCTATGTAGTGACACCTCGTCTTAAAAGTAAAAAACCAAACAAACCTGAAGGGCAAAAAAGTCCTTCTGACTCCAGACCCACCTTTTTGATGATTTAGGGCAAATGGCTGAAAATTCTTAGCATACTGCAATGCTTCTCGTTGATTTGTGGTTCCGCCCATTAACAAGCTAATGAAATACAGTCGGTGCAGCTTAAATTCCAAGGAGCTGTTCTGGGCAATGAGCATTTCTCGGTTTGAGACTGCCCACCTAAAGAAAAAGCAGAAGGATATTTTAACAATAATCAAGGGTACTCAAGGTGTGTTTAAAACTCTGAAACTGAGTAACTAGAAAGGGTTTCGGTCTGCCATCTTGTGGAAGGCTTTGGTAACAACAGCTCAGCTGAGACTCCTAAAGAAAGTAAGCCTAACTCCTCAAGAGACTTTAAGCCAGGACAGAGAATAAGAAGAAAAAATATTGTTAGAAGACAATCACTTATCCAAGTAAGGTTTGTTGGCAAGATAAGAATGTTATGTAATCATGTGGTACAACCTGGCTTTGAACAGTGCCACACTTGGAAGTAGGTATGTTGGAAAGGAGATTTGTGGCTAGATTGCCTATATTGGCCCCTCTTTTCCTATTAAACTGGTCTATACGTGACTGATCAAAGATTCTTCTTTAATGTTTTACTTTTAAACTTCATTGGCTGAAAGACCATGCTACTTGCTTTGAGATTAAAAATGGCAAATAATGGTATTTCCTCAAGGTGCTCACAGTTTATCAGGAAGATAAAATCATACACACACACACACACACACACACACACACACACACACACACACACACACACACACAGAGTATATTTTCCCATGAGAAAAGCTGTAGATAAAGGCAAAGGAGTATTCAGTGACTAACCACCTATATCACTAAACGTAGTGACTTAGGCCTCAATTGCACAAGCCGCTGGAATAATTCATCTTGAACTGGGGCCACAACAATGCTACTGAGTGAATGATAAAATAGACCAGGCTACTCAAATCAAGTTTTACAAAAGTGATAAGGAAGCTTTTAACTATTTAGATATGTTGCTATCATATTCTTCAATTTGCCCTTTAGTTAGATATTCCCACCCACCCAGTTCACCAAAGACCACTAGAATCTAGCAGGAATAGGTTTAAATGTAAAACCTGAGTAACTCCATAAACTACAGGAGCAAAATTCTTTAAGTTATTCACAGTGAACAAGTTCTCTGGAATTGGGAATTCACACAGCTGAACACCTACTGGATCAACCCCTTCTCCCAAAGGGCTGGACATGCATGAAATAAGTCTCATCAATTTGGTGATGTGCCTACATCTTAGTCAAATCATAACAAGTCTCTAACCTCAAAGTCAAAGGGATTCTTTTTTAATGTGAGTAATATGGACCTTAAGAGTATAAATGCAGACAAGTTGCAACATCAAGTTTGACTTAAAAAAAAACTGCTGACATCAACAAGGTACATAAAGTAAATATTTTTTTGGGGGTAGGGTGGGGTCCGGTTGTAGGGCCTGAACTCTGGGCCTGGGCGAGTCCCTCAGCTCTTCAGCTCAAGGCTAGCACTCTACCACTTGAGCCACAGTGCCACTTTCCAGCTTTTTTTTCTTTTTGCTTATGTGGTACTGAGGAATAGAACCCAGGGCCTCATACATGCAAAGCAAGTATTCTACCACTGAGCCACTTTCCCAGCCCAGTATTTTTCTTTTTAATGTCCAACACCAACCATCTGCTTTTGCTTCCTATTTTATTTTTTGGGTTGCATACCTGTGATCCCAGATATGTGGAAGGAATAGGATTGTGGCTTGAGTCTGATCCCAGACAAAAACATTAAACTACAGATAAAGTAACTAAGCAAAAGAGAAAATAGATGAAGGAGGGAAGAGTGTGATATATAAAGGAAAAAGAAAACCCTTCAGCTACATGGGAATGAACCACTGAGGCCCAGGCAAAATCCTATCTGAAAAATAACCTAAGCAAAAAAGACAGGTGGCATGGATCAAGTGGTGACACACTTGCTAGTAATAAGCATGAGGCCCTGAATTCAAATTCTAGCAACCATAAAAAAATCAGAAAGAAGACATTACCTTTTTATTCTTTCCTCATTTTTAAATTTTAATATTTCATTATTATAAAGGTGATGTATAGAGGGGTTATAATTACACAAGTCAGGTAATAAGTACATATATTTTTGGACAATGTCACCTTTCTATTCATTCTTATACTTCCTATTCTTTGCCTTTCCAATCCCTTTCCCCCGGCCTCCTTTTTTCTTTTTCTAAACCAAAATTTTAATTGTTAAATAAAGGCGATGTACAGAGTGGTTACAGTTATATAAGTCAGGTAAAGAGTACATTTCTTTTTGGACCATGTCACACCTTCCCTTTTTCTCTCCTAGCATCTTGCTTTTTTCTTTTTTTGAAAGAGAAGCAGGTGTTTGGAAAACCAAGGGCCAGAGAAGAACAGGTTAGGAAAGCAGTAGCTGGCTAGATGGATAAATCAGAGGTATTGTCAAAGAATTAAAATAGCAAAAAAATGTGTTAGTGAACATCTATAATGCCAGGATTTGAGAGATTTTCTGGATATGCCAGCCTAGACTACATACTGAGTCCCTTTCTCAAAAAATTAAAAAATAAAGAAAAATAGCTGAGCACTGGTGGCTCATGCCTATAGTTCTAGCTACTCAGAAGACTGAGATCTGAGAATCACGGTTTGAAGCCAGCCCTGGCAGGAAAGTCCCTGACACTCATATCTCCAATGAACTACGCAGAAAAAGCCAGAACTGGCACTGTGGCTCAAGTGATAGAGTGCCTTAAGGAAGGAAGGAGAGAAGGGGGAGAAGGGGAAGAAAGAGGGAGGGAGAGAGGAAGAGAGAAAGGGAAAGGGGAGAAAGAGGAAGGGAAGGAAGGAAGGAGGGAGAGGGGGGAGAGGGGAGAGGGGGGAGGAAAGGGAAGAGAAAAGAAGAGGGAGAGGGAGAGAGGGAGGGAGGAGAGAAGAGAGGAGGGAGAGAGGGAGGGGGAGAAAGAAGGAGAGAGGGAGGAAGGGAGGAAAGAAGAGAGGAGGGGGGACAGAGAAATAAAGGAAGGAAGGATGAAGGAAGGAAAGAGAAAAGAAGGAAGGAAGGAAGGAAGGAAGGATCAACCAATCTAGTGAGAATAAGATGGAGGAGAGATAAAAAAAATAAAGGTGAAAGAATAAATGCAAGTCAACTGGTACAGTGGCTCATGCCTATCATTCTGTCTACTTAGAAAACAGATCTAGGAGCCGGGCGCTGGTGGCTCACGCCTGTAATCCTAGCTACTCAGGAGGCTGAGATCTGAGGATTGCGGTTCAAAGCCAGCCCGGGCAGGAGAGACCGTGAGACTCCTATCTCCAATAAACCACCAGAAAACCGGAAGTGGCACTGTAGCTCAAGTGGTAGAGCGCTCGCCTTGAGCTGAAGAGCTGAGGGACAGCGCCCAGGCCCAGAGTTCAAACCCCACGACCGACAAAAAAAAAAAAAAAGAAGAAAGAAAACAGATCTAGGGGTTGGGAAGTGGCTCAGTGGTAGAGTGCTTGCCTTGCATGCATGAAGCCCTGGGTTCAATTCCTCAGCATTACATAAGCAGGAAAAAAAAGCTGGAAGTGGAGCTGTGGCTCAAGTGGTAGAGTGCTAGCCTTGAGCTGAAGAGCTGAGGGACAGCGCCTAGGCTGAGTTTAGGCCCCAAGACCAAAAAAGAAAAAGAAAAGAAAACAGATCTGGATGATCATTGTTTAAGGCCAGCCAAGGCAAAAAGTTTACATACTCTCTTCTCAATCAGTATTCAGGGATGGTGGCACACACATCTATCATCCCAGATACTGAGGGAAGTGTAAAAATGGATCCTGGTCAGTTCTGATGCTCATCCAGGTAGACTTGTTTTTACCACGAGATCAGGAGCTGTCATAACTATTTCCCAATGTAGGTACAAAGTTCTGGAAAAGTACAATTTAATATAAATTGAGCAGTACAGAACATGGTTGAAAAACTCAAGGCCCAGGCTCAATTATGCTTTGCACAACTTTTCTAACAACTCTCTATTGACAGAACTCTAAATGTTCTTCATCTAATAAAGCTCTTATATATATCTCTTCCCCAATTTGACAGTATAGTTTGGTATCTAAAGGAAGGGCTCTGGTCTGCTTATAAATCTTTGCACCCCTCCCCCCCATATATACACTATGAATGGGACACAGTGGTAAGTACAGGCTGCTAGAGTCAAGTATGTGAAGACTTAAATCCTAACCTTGTGGTATAAATTTAGACAATGCTATTGAACTCTCTAAAATCTGTTTCTTTACTGTGAAATGAGGACACCTCAAAAGGTGTTTCAAACACAGATGGGTACAAATAGAGATTTAATTACAAGATGCTCAGCATATACTTATTGATGAACTGAACTAACAGTTGGAACCTTCCATGTAATATTCAGAACGTTCATATTTATAGTAAAAACCACCTTGGAATATAATATATGCTTTTATTAGTTTAATCCCTTCAGAAACTTGAAATTTTCTTAGCTAGAAAATCATATGGGATATCTTATTAATTCACTGCTCAGTAAAATAAGGGATAGAACACAGATCTGATAAACAAACCTTAACATGAAGTACATAAAACTGTATTTGTCACTAACAACTCACTACCTTCAAAGTACGGGAAGATATGTGTGCAGAAGGAAACTTAAAAAAACAAACAAACATGATGAGCCAGGTGCCAGTGGCTCACATCTGTAATTCTAGCTACTCAGGAGTTGAGATCTGAGGATCATGGTTCAAAGTCAGCCTGGGCAGGAAAGTCTTATCTCCAGACATGTTTTCCAAAAAAACGAAGTGGAGCTATGGCTCCAGTGGTAGAGCGCTAGCCTGAGCAAAAAAGCTAAGGGACAGTGCCCAGGCCCTGAGTTCAAGCCCCCCACAAAGAACAACAACAAAAACACCAACAAAGAAATGATATGATACTACGAAATGGACGCTCTACCCTGCTTAATAATTTCCAGCAGAAAATGTGATTTTCAGTGAAAACAAAACCACCACCATTAAACCAACCAGTAAGCTAACTAAAAATTTAGCGAACTTATGAATTATTCTTTGTATTTTTCTTCTAAATTTCATCCTACAGTTACTCATGTGATTGACAGCCACTGTCTATTTGAGAAAACACTCAAAGAATGACACTAAGGTCACTAATGTCAGAATTATCTGCCACTGCGCTG